AGTTTGGGAGACTGGCATAAAACCAGGGCTATACTGGGAAGGCTTTGCCAGGACAGCTATACTGTATCGCCAGCAAAAGTGTGTTCAGTGCACCTGGCACACTTAACTGTAGACTAAGCTGTACATGCGTTAGAAGCCACCTTCCTGGATCATTTCTAGCTAGACTGCCCGCTGTCATGGGGGCTGGGGGGGTCAGCCTACCTATGACAGGCTCCACTAAGGAGAATGAGCCAACACAGATCCCCCCGTGACTACTTGCCTACATAGCTGGGTGACAGTTAATTAGGTAACGAGCGTCTGGGCCTAATAAAGGCTTAGCAGGGCTCAGGCTGGAAGGCGGATGCTGCTCCCAGTGGCATCTCCCTGGAGAGCGAGTCTCACAGGCAGAGGAACAGGCCCAGAACACAGTGCAGCCAGGCAAGGCACTAGAGAGCCCAGGAGAATGAACTGGGTGTGGGATGTCCTGGCTCAGCAAAGAGCGGCGCACTGTCTGGGCAAGACTGGCATCCGGCCGAACGCACAAAGGCCCAAGCTCCAGGCAGGGAATTCGGCGTGAGAGGGCTCCAGGGCTAGTGAGGGGAGATCAGACTGATCAAACCACTGGCAGAGAACTCCTGATGGGGTAGCTGATGGAAGCTTCTGTTTGTTTTCCTGTTGCCCTTTTTGGTTAAATAAACAACACCTTCCAAAGAGGGTGCTCTTTACTACTCGAAAGGCCTGCTTGGACTTGTTTATACCCTGGGTGAGGGGAAACTGAGGTAGTGGCTCACCGGCAGTGCTGCGCCTGATCACAAACGGTGCGCTGGGGGTCACCTCCATGCTATTAGACCCCCTTTTTTAAAGAGTAAGTGCTAAGCCGCCCAGCGAGGGTCACACCTCTCAACTCCAGGACTCAGCTGCCACCTCCCCTTTTGCTCTCAGGAGCAATTTACAACTCGAGAAGAGAGACTCCAGGGTGGTAGATCCTAGGTTATCAACTGAAGACTAGCTGCAGAACGCTCTCTAGATCCCTGGCGGGCTCCTTTCCCTCCAGGGGCTGCGAACGCACAGTCAAACACAGCTAAAAATACATCAAGACTTCCCTAATGTCAGTCTGGTGCCTAAGCGACTTCGACAGCAGCCCCAAGGACAATGGGTGATTGTAAAGGGGATAGGGAGCCTCTAAGCCATAAGCTGGACAACCCCTGGTCTAAGACACGCAAGGGATGGGACAAGACAGTACCTGGGAAATAAGTTTGCCGATCAGAGGCGTGTTGGAGACTCAGTGCAGCCCAAGGGACCTGAATATTCCCTGCTCCCCAGTTTGGCAAGGGAGGGCTGTTGAGTGGAGCAGCCCCAGAAACACAAACCACCAAACAGGTACGTGCCATCTCTGTGACCTGGGTAACGCTGTGGCGTGAGTCCTCCTGCCCCCACAAACGGCTACCCCCCAAAGCAGCCTGCTCCCCTGAGAGGGACCGTGTCATGGGGCAGGTCCAAACTGCCCATCTTAAGAAAGCTTTGGGGGTGGGAAGAGACAAATAGATCATTCAAAGAGCAGACTGCCAGAGCCCCAGGGGTGGAGGCAGGTGTGTGTGAATGAAACCGATTCTCCTCTTTGGCGGGGACAGATACAGCTTGTTCCCAACGGCTCACAACTGTTTGCACATCAAACAACCCCAAACCAAGCCAGCCAAGGCCCCAGTAAGTGGGGCAGGATGGGCTGGGAGGAGAGAATCAGAACGGACTCACATAGCTTGGAGGTTATTCATCTCCCTGCCCCCACGCTCACAGTAGGCGGTTACCCCACTTTCTCCACACTGCCTCCCACCGCTCCCCAGAAGCATCCCACCAGCTGCGCCCCAAGATCCGTCTGGCTCCAGCATCCTTGTCAATCCCAGCAGCAGCGTCCCCAGCTTTGCGGAGCCCAGGCTTTGGGGGCGTGCGATGCCCGCAGCGCCCTGCTCCGGAATAGCAGCGCGAGAGGGATGCACAGAACAGCCCCCCCCGGGGCGCCAGCTCTTACCCTAGCTGGGGCCAACGCAACTTCCTTCCCCTGCGGCTCAGCTCCCCCCTCGCAGCAAGAGCAGGGCTCCAGCCCGCCCGGGAGAGCGCCCTGCCCCCAGCCGCCCCGCCTGGCCTTGGGGGCTCCTGTGCACGGCCCGGAGCTTGCAGCCACACCCGAGCCCCCGCTCACCTTCGCTCATGGCGGCCCCGGCTGCGCGCATCAGCAGCACCCGGCACCCCCCGGGAGCCGAACCCGCGCGCGCCGCCCCGGCCCCTCTGCTTCGGAGACACAAAGGAGCCGCAGCTGGCGGGTCAGCGGGGCGGGGCTCGGCCGCGCAGGGGCGGCTGGGAGTTGTAGTTTCTCTCTGCCCGGGCGTCCTCTCGGGTCAGGGTCCTGTCTTTACCCAGGACGCCAGGTCAGCTGCCACGACGCCCCCAGATCATGACCCGCAGAGGGTCTCCCGGTCCCGGCACCGATTCTGAGCCCTGGTAAGAGCCCGCCTGCGGCAGGACTGAGCTGGGAGGGCGCCCCAGGGTATTAGACACACTCCAGCGCCCCCGGTTTACAGATGAGAAACTGAGGCACAAGCAGAGGACTGGGCTTGCCCACGGTTACGCAGGGGGTAACTCACTTCTGTAGCAGAGGCAAAGTCCACTCCTGACTTCCCCTCCTTTGCTTTAGCTGCCCAACTACTGACACACACTATCTAGAGCTCTGTGTGTCCATCCATCTATACTTCATATGTACAGTTATGGAACACACTCTCTCTCTCTCTTCTGTGATCCGCCCAATTAGTCCCCTTGACGCTGACCATGCCACTCTTGGGGGCCAGGTAGGTTATTATCTAGTCCATTCTACTCAGCCAGTGCAGGATGGTTCTGTTCACTGTTTGCCCAGTGTGCCATGAAGCCTGGTTTTAAATGACTTACTGAGGCTTTCACCATCTCCCCTTGGAGACTATTCCTCATGTGAACTGACCTTCTCAGTGGGGCAATTAATCCTAATTATACCCTCATAGGCACTATAAACAATTCCTCTCCCTCCCTGGGATTTTATTTCTCATCTGCTAGTTATATCTGCTAGTAGGGGGTGGCTCATTGCTAGTGTTTACCTTATTATCCTCAAAGCTCATGCTTCAGGGTTGAAACTGGCCACCTCCGGGGGTCAGGAAGGGCACTCCCCCCAAGTATTCTGTTATTTTTTAAAATCTCCTTCCTCTGAAGCATCAGTGATGGCCATGACTTTAAATGGGACATTGGATGGCATGGGGCAGGGCTATGAGGTGGCACCCAGCATTTTCTTCCTCCGGTGCTTGGCTGGTTCTTGCTCAGGCGTTCAGGATCTCATCAGTCATCATAGGTGGGGTCAGGAAGGAATTTCCCCCAGTGACCTTGGCAATTTTTCACCTTCCTCTGTAGCCTGTGGATCCAGGTCACTTGCTAGGATTACCTGGGTGTATCTTACATAATTCTTTCCCCGTCATTACAGGGGACTTGGTGCACCTTGGTCCCCGCTATTCTCAGCCTGTGGCACAAAACAGTCTAGTTTCAGGGTGGGGTGGGGTGGGTGGCCTGTGATACACAGGAGGTCAGCACAGATGATCTAGTGCTCCCTTTGGGCCTTAAACTTTATGACTCTACAGTTTCCCTTTGTTGTTTAAACCAAGCTATGCCTCGTTGACGTTTAAGCTTTCCAACTGAGCATCGGCTTGGCCAGGTAAGCTGAAACAAAGACTCAGCATTCACTTGTCTCTTTCCCATGCCTCCATAAATAGGGCCCTACCAAATTCACGGCCATAAAAAATGCATCACAGACTGTGAAACCTGGTCTTTTGTGTGCTTTCGCCCTAAACAGAGTTGACAGGGGAGACCAACATTTCTCAAATTGGAGATCCGGACCCAAAAGGGACTTGCGGGGGCGTGTGTGTGTGTGTGGGGGTGTTGCAAGGTTATTTTAGGGGGGTTGCAGTATTGCCACCCTTGCTTCTGTGCTGCCGCAGCCTGCGGAGCTGGGTGGCCGGACGGTGGCAGCTGCTGGCCGAGGGCCCAGCTGTGCAGGCAGCAGCGTAGAAATAAGGGTGGCAACATCACACCAGGCCACCCTTCCTCTGCGCTGCTGCTGGCGGCAGCTCGGCCTTCAGAGCTGGGCTCCCGGCCAGCAGCCGCCGCTCTCCAGCTGTGAAGGCAGCACTGCCACCAGCAGCAGCGCAGAAGTAAGGGCAGCAGCACCGTAAACCCCCCCCCCCCCGTACAATTACCTTGCAAACCCCCAACCCCATTTTGGGGTCAGGATCCCTACAATTACAACACTGTGAGATTTCAGATTTAAATAGCTGTAATGATGAAATTTACAATTTTTTAAATCCTACAACTGTGAAATTGACCAAAATGGCCTATGAATTTTAGAGCCCGACCCATAAATAAGAGGATGAGATGAGTGCGCTTATCATAAATGCTGGATTGCTGTAGCCATCCGGAACTGGAGCTAACCAGTAAGCAGCACCCCCCCTGATCTGAAAAGAAGCCATAGCAGCTGAAGAAGAAGGATGTTAACCCACACTCCAGACAAATTCCAGCTCTGGTAATTACATGGTAAAGACCTGAGGTTCCCTGCACTTTCAGCTACATACAGTGTTCTCCACAAGAGTTGAGGATGGAGAGTAAATTGTTGCTACCTTTTTTACTGCAGAGGTGGCTGCATTTCAGCAACAGGTAAAGCCACCCTAGTGATGGACACAGCGGCCAGCCCTTGTACTGTATTTGGGATGCTTTTGACATGAAGAGCTCAAAAAATGTAAATCTTTAATTTTGTATAGGCCATGGACTTCAATCCTCAACTAGTAGAAACTGATTAAAACAGACATTCCCCTAAAATATGCCAACCGGTACATTCCCTTTCCTTCCCATTAAAACAAAATTCTGCATGGCCGGGATTTATTTATTCTTAGGTGAAGAGACAGTCTTAAGAAATCATCAAAACTTTGTTTCACAGAGGAAACCTTCTACACGGATAATGCTGATGGTGCACCACAAACTTTATTCTCATTCTTTCCTTGTCTTCTACAGGGTTTCTTTCACTCAATATATGATTTTGCCTCTGGCATCATAAAGATAAGTAGCAAATTGATTTAAGCTGTCAGCAGATAAAATTCACCAGAATTCAAGAGGAGATTATTCATTTGACTCAGGAACAATATGTGATGAAGATATGAACATCGACTCAGACGCTCCTTTGCCTCTTAGCAATAGGGAGCATGGAGAGTACATTTTTTATAAGGTAACAAATTATTCATATGGAAACTAAATTCTTCCCATAGATGGAAGAGATTGTCAGATTTTGCAGAAGGGAAGATGTAATAGAATACAGACATATCAATAAGTTAAAGGGGACATGTGCCTGCAGTTAGCTGAAAGCCATTAAAATATTTGCACATGGAATCTTGTGGATCTGTATCCAATTAGGATGTTAACCGGTGCCGATGGCTTTCAGGAACTATTAACCACAGGTCATCTGCAACTGAGTGAAATATGTAGCACACGGGGCACTCAATGAGACTGAAAAGGAAGCAATTGAAAATTGATTTAACCACAATCCATAGCCAACCTATGGAACTCATTGCCACAAGTTCTGAGAGCACCCCAGAGTTCTAAGTACTCAAAAAAGGAGCAGATAGTTATATGAATAAGAACACGCAGGGTTCCATTAAATAGAAGTATGCTTCAGGAGGGATGTAACTCCTCGTGCTTCAGAGCAGACCAGTAACTAACAGGGGAATAAATAACATTCCACTATGGGTAGCTTATTCCACAGTTTTGCATTACAGGGTTTCTTGCACTCGGAAGCATCTGATGCGGACAACTTCTTAGCATGTACGCAATGTATGCAGTGCCTGACCAGGATTCATCCCTGAATTTGTTGCGCTGGTTGGATCATTAAGTTCTCGGGCTGGGAGACCACTGGTCTGAGGCAGCATAGCACTTGCCTAGGTAGTTACAGTTTCATTGACAGGCAAGGTTCTTCCCATAAAACCTCCCAAATTTTCAGGCTGATGATTCCCACATCACATGTAATTTCTACCCACACACCTTCCTTGAAAGCTTCTCCCATACCTTTAACCTCAGCGATGGCTATATTTGAATGAACGTTATTAGATGAATTATCGTCTTCGGGTTACTACTTTGCTGTGGTGCCAACGTGGAAACAGATGACTTCCCCATATCCAGAATCTTAGAGTGAAGCCTGAGGTGTAGCACTCCCATAACCTGCACACACCAGAGGTCAACCAATTTCAGACTTCAGCTGGACTTTACAAATTCATCCAGGAGGCACAGGGGAGAGAGAGAAGTTGGTTCAATTATATTAATATAGTAGGAGCTCTTATTTGTTCTTTACAGTATTTATTGTACATGCATATCTCTGGAAAACATGAGTCCCTGCTGGAACCCTCTTTCTAAATCAGATATAAATTACCTTCAGCTACAGTATGTGCGTTTTACGTCTATGATTAAGAAACAGCATTATGCGCTGACTGCCTTCTCTTTGTAAGTTGACATCATTTTCTTGATTTCGGCAATTGCTTTTCCAGGGTTCAGTCCCTACAAAGACAAAGTGTAACAGTTAGCAGACAGAGAAATTAACACTACACTTAATAGAGTTTCCTTTACATCAACGTGGGTTGGTGTTGTAAGCTCACAGCCACGCCAGCCCCACTGAGGCAAGCTGGCAGAGTGTGGGCTGCAAAATCCACGCCTTCTCATTTTGAAAAATAAAAGTAGAGTCCACCTGCTCCCATGGGAAGCCCCAGTATGGTGTCTCCTTTTGGTTGTTCGCATGATATGGTGCACAGGGGAGCCACTCAGTTATGATCTACCCCAGACAAGACAGGCAATATCCTGGATGTCTCTGCATACCATAACATGAGAAGATGCAAAGTCACTGCACTCCCAATTCCAACTTTTCAGGGAAGGAGTGGAGCAATGTCTGGGGGTGGGGGGAGGAGAGGAGAGGAAGAGGCAAGCCAGGTGGGGTGAGTGGGGACATATCCAGCAGGTAGCTGCCTCTCTGCAACGGTGCCCAATTCTGACCGATAAAATCTCCAAAAAAGGCCCTCGTTCAAATGTTTGCAGCCCCTTCCTGGGCCACAATATATATTTGTTAGCACCAGCCCATGTCATTTTAAGAAACAAAAATATTTGTTATCTTTTGGTCTGAATACAGCAAGACCTAACAAGCACCCACTCAAGGGACTGACAACAAACCTAATGGCTCAAAGAAGTTGTACTCAATACATTTGGAGGTATTTTCACATGGGCTCCGAAGGCAGGAGCTTGCCTAATCAAGATGGTCTCCTGTGTAAGTTTCACTGGAGTCAAGATACAAAACCTAATGTTTTATTTAAAACTAGGAGAAAAGAAAGAACCGCATCTTAAATGGAACCTGAGGGATAGAAAGCAAAAGCACTTCAGGCTACAACACAAAAATGATTCTAGCACACCATCGTGCTTCTGGTTGTTCAGTTTTCCAAAGGATGTTGTTGTTGTATTGTAGAGCCACCATTCATGCCGTGAAAGGACTTTATATAATCCTGTAGTGCTGCCTAACTAAATGAGTATGCTTAATCTCAACATAAAAGGGAAAAATCACAAGCACCCTGCCAGACCGCTAATCATGGAGAATTCAGATATGTCCAAGGGAAGACCCAGGGTTACAGTGTCTAGGTTGAAACATGGTGATTATTAACTAATAAGTAAGATACCGGTAAGAAACACAAAACCCATGATTAGCTGCTTCATTATAATGCTCACACAATTGTCTCTCTCTCACCTGTGCACGCGCACACAGGATCTTCTGTTAGTATAGATGAACAGTGACTTCAAGGGAACTACATCAGTTCACATCAACTGATGATCTAGCTCCAAATGTAACTGGTTACCTACATTCTGTAGAAGTCAGCAATAAATGTAACCTGGAATCACAATTTAATACGCATAGAAGCACTGAGTTTTAGTGATCAGCACTTGTAGAGATGGATGATCCCTGAGAATCTTACTTCCAAGAGTTACGTAGTCCTGGAGCAGGCATTTGCCTCCTGCCTACTAGGTAGTGGGCTTTCAGTTGTAAATCTGATTAGAAGCAATTTCTTTGCTGTTTTCAAAAAGCTATAGGGAAGAATTTCACACCTTTCCAGATGCAACCCACGTAGAGTTAAAGAATACTACTATTTGCAGGAGAGCTAGACCCCTTCAAACTTGATTATCTGCCATGACAACTCACTAGGTCACTGCCTGATGGAGATTTTACTTTCTGCACAGATTTGATTTGAAAAATTCATTCCCGTGGTTCTGAATGTAGCGATCTGCACATTATTAACAAGCAAACTGGGAGCTACCTAAACTGGCCCTGGTAACAGGCTCCCACTGCATTACAATTCCCAGACATAGCTGAAGCCCACTTTAGCGTCTTCACACACTCACACACTATATAGCACTTCAATGATACCCTGAATGGCAGGAATATGAACAGATACTTATTTAGAGGATAAACGTACTGCTCTTGATGGTCTAACACCAATATTTAGAACCATGATAGACTTCCCTCACCTACCACAACTCAGTGAAGGCACTGCAGTCATTACCTGCACCTCCCACTGCTATTATAGCCCTAATCTCTGAAGCAGAGATTACTAATTGTGCCTAATTGAGTTGAAGTGCATGGCAAATATCCCCTAAGAAGGCAGCTTTCAAGACTTTCTGGAGTCTTGCATCCGATGAAGTGAGCTGTAGCTCACGAAAGCTTATGCTCAAATAAATTGGTTAGTCTCTTAGGTGCCACTAGTACTCCTTTTCTTGGAGCTCATAAGACTCTTTCCTGGATTTTTTTCTTAGGGTGGGTGGGAGGTAATGAGGCCCCTTGCTAAGGGGGTGCATATGTTCCTAGGAAAAAATCCCAGCATTTCACAAACATGTTAGTCAAGAGACTTCCTTGCTCGCACCCCAGTCATTGGGCCCACAGACTGAGTGCAAGTACCCCTGCACCTATGACCCCCACTGGTGAGGGAGAAGAGATGTCACAATTGCTTGTAATACAAACAATGGGCTTCAGTCACCGTTCCATTCCATGATAGGTTTCACTTATTGCTATACAAGTGCAGCAGCTGATTGTTCACACACAAGAACATACAGCACATTTCAGAGGGCAAGTTTAAAGTTTTGTTCAGCCTGATGCGCTCTCATTCCTCAACCTGATCGTCTAACAACCTACATGGGACTCTACTCACCTGCTCCCACCGCACATCATCTTTGCAAACATCCTAGCAGTGAGATCAGGCAGGGAGGGTGTGACCTTACCCAGGGCACAATCTGACCCAGTTATCAGCTGTATCCCCTCAGTTCTCCAACCTGGGATGCTTTTTACACTGCTTTGTTGTGAGAGCTACCACTCCTGATTTGATCACACACAGCCTCCGGCATGTAAGTTACTCCCTGTTATACTGTGAAGGGTGCTATGGCCAGCCACCTTTGAATTACACAGCAGAGCAACACCAGCAAATTCCCAGTCCCGGACTTTCCCCCAAGAAATGAACACCTGTACTGCCCAGCCCTCTACTGGGCAACACAAGCTCATATAAAGTCTGTCATGTTATCAATAGAAAATGATATGCACAGATCATGTTATCCTAAATGGAGCTTCCCAAACACTTCAATCCAAACACCCCGGTCTAGATCAGTGGTTTGTGATGCATGACCAGAAAGGGTTAAACATCCCGCAGGATAAATGATACAAATCCAACTCTTAAAGACACATTAGTAGATAACGTTTGTGTTTGTGTGTGTTTACATATATATTGGTAGAGGTTAACAATGTAATCAAACAGTCCCTGGCTATGCTGTATTGTTAATTCAGAGATCAAAAGGACATCTTAACATTTAAATGAACTGTAAACATAGGATATCCTATATTCATCTCTCCTTGAAATGTATAGCAAATCATCTGTGAATGGTGGAAAAACAGGCAATTGCCTTATGTTAATCTGTGTAGATAATTACCAGTGATGCTTAGGAAATGTTACGAGCTGTTACAAGAAGGCCTGAAACTATATAAAGATGTTATGGGTCCCAATCCTTTTATTATATCTCAGATTCTGCTTGAGACTTCATGCAAGGGAAGCTTAAGCCACAAGGCTGAGATTCCTGACTGGACCACCCTGAAATATATATCGGAATATAAGCTATGAACTAATTCTGAAAGAGCTCTTTGCAACTACAAAGCTCCCATCTCTGCTATGAATCTGAATCTCAAGAATTGTACTCATGTCTGTATGTATACTGATCTTTTAACCAATATACTCTTATTTTTTTAATAAATTTTAGTTTAGTTAATAAGAACTGGCTGAAAGCATCTATTTGGGTAAGATCTGGAATATTCATTAACCTGGGAGGTAATGTGTCTGATCCTTTGGGATTGGTAGAATTTTTTATATGATGAATAAGATTTTCAGTAATCCTCATTATATTTGACTTGGGTGTCTGGGTGGAGGCCTGAGGCTGGGTTGCTTTAAGGGAACAGTGTTGTTGGCTTCTGGGTAACCAGTGAGGTATTGTAGAAGCTGTTGTGTGCTGGCTTGGTAAATCTAAGTATTGGAATATCCACCAGCTTCAGGGATTGTCTGCCCCATTCTTTACTGTTCACCCTAATCGAGCGACCTCAGCTGGCTCCCCTGGGACTCCAGTCACAGTGGTTCTCAACCAGGAGTATGTGTACTCCTGGGTGCATACAGAGGTCTTCCAGGGGGTATGTTGTTAGGATATAGATATTCAGGTCTGTCTGTAAAGGCCTACACTCTAAGCCCTGGTCTACACTAGGACTTTAGGTCGAATTTAGCAGCGTTAAATCGATTTAAACCTGCACCCGTCCACACAATGAAGCCCTTTATTTCGACTTAAAGGGCTCTTAAAATCGATTTCCTTACTCCACCCCTGACAAGTGGATTAGCGCTTAAATCGACGTTGCCGGCTCGAATTTGGGGTACTGTGGACACAATTCGATGGTATTGGCCTCCGGGAGCTATCCCAGAGTGCTCCATTCTGACCGCTCTGGACAGCGCTCTCAACTCAGATGCACTGGCCAGGTAGACAGGAAAAGAACCGCGAACTTTTGAATCTCATTTCCTGTTTGGCCAGCGTGGCAAGCTGCAGGTGACCATGCAGAGCTCATCAGCACAGGTGACCATGATGGAGTCCCAGAATCGCAAAAGAGCTCCAGCATGGACCGAACGGGAGGTACGGGATCTGATTGCTGTTTGGGGAGAGGAATCCGTGCTATCAGAACTCCGTTCCAGTTTTCGAAATGCCAAAACCTTTGTGAAAATCTCCCAGGGCATGAAGGACAGAGGCCATAACAGGGACCCGAAGCAGTGCCGCGTGAAACTGAAGGAGCTGAGGCAAGCCTACCAGAAAACCAGAGAGGCGAACAGCCGCTCTGGGTCAGAGCCCCAAACATGCCGCTTCTATGATGAGCTGCATGCCATTTTAGGGGGTTCAGCCACCACTATCCCAGCCGTGTTGTTTGACTCCTTCAATGGAGATGGAGGCAATAC